ATATATGGACCCAATACAGGAGCACCCAGATACATAAGGCAAGTTCTTAATGACTTACAAAGAGACTTAGACTCCCACACAATAATAGTGGGAGACTTTAACACTCCACTGTCAATATTAGACAGATCAACCAGACAGAAAATTAAAAAGGATATCCAGGGCTTGAACTCAGACCTGGAGCAAGCAAACCTGATAGACATTTACAGAACTCTCCACCCCAAATCCACAGAATATACATTCTTCTCAGCACCACATCACACCTACTCTAAAATTGACCACATAATTGGAAGTAAAGCACTCCTCAGCAAATGCAAAACAACTGAAATCATAACAAACAGCCTCTCAGACCATAGTGCAATCAAGTTAGAACTCAGAATTCAGAAACAAACCCAGAACCGCACAGCTTCATGGAAACTGAACAACTGCCTCTTGAATGTTGACTGGGTAAACAATGAAATGAAGGCAGAAATAAAGAAGTTCTTCGAAACCAATGAGAACAAAGACACAACATGCCAGAATCTCTGGGACACATTTAAAGCAGTCTCTAGAGGAAAATATATAGGAATAAGTGCCCATATGAGGAGAATGAAGAGATCCAAAATGAACACCCTATCGTCAAAATTGAAAGAGCTAGAGGAGCAAGATCAAAAAAACTCAAAACCCAGCAGAAGACAAGAAATAACTAAGATCAGAGCTGAACTGAAGGAGATAGAGACATGAAAAACCCTTCAAAAAATCAATAAATCCAAGAGCTGGTTTTTTGAAAAGATCAACAAAATAGACAGACCACTAGCCAGATTGATTAAAAAGAAAAGAGAGAACAACCAAATAGATGCAATAAAAAATGATAAAGGGGAAATCACCACAGATTCCACAGAAATTCAAACCATCATCAGAGAATATTACAAACAACTCTATGCACATAAACTAGTAAACCTGGAAGAAATGGATAAATTCCTGGACTCCTGTGTCCTCCCAAGCCTAAACCAGGAGGAAGCTGAAACTATGAATAGACCAATAACAAGGTCAGAAGTCAAGGCAGCAATTAAGAGCCTACCACACAAAAAAAGCCCAGGTCCAGACGGGTTCACAGCCGAATTCTACCAGCCACACAAAGAGGAGCTGGTACCATTCCTTCTAAAACTATTCCAAATAATCCAAAAAGAGGGAATCCTTCCCAAATCATTTTATGAGACCAATATCATCCTGATACCAAAACCCGGCAGAGACCCAACAAGAAAGAAAACTTCAGGCCAATATCCATGATGAACATAGATGCAAAATCTTCAATAAATATTGGCAAGCCGATTGCAACAGCAAATCAAAAAACTTATTCATCACGATCAAGTAGGATTCATCCCGGGGATGCAAGGCTGGTTCAACATACGCAAGTCTATAAACGTAATTCACCACATAAACAGAACCAAAAACAAAAACCACATGATTATCTCAATTGACGCAGAGAAGGCATTTGACAAAATACAACGGCCCTTTATGCTAAAAACCCTCAATAAACTCGGTATCGATGGAACATATCTCAAAGTAATAAAAGCTATTTATGACAAACCAACAGCCAATATCATACTGAATGGGCAAAAACTGGAAGCATTCCCTTTGAAATCCGGCACTAGACAAGGATGCCCTCTCTCACCACTCCTATTCAATATAGTACTGGAAGTTCTAGCCAGAGCAATCAGGCAAGAAAAAGAAATAAAGGGTATTCAAATAGGAAAGGTGGAAGCCAAATTGTCTCTATTTGCAGACGACATGATAGTATACCAAGAAGACCCCATCGCCTCAGCCCAAAAACTCCTGAAACTGATAAGCAACTTCAGCAAAGTCTCAGGATATAAAATCAATGTGCAAAAATCACAAGCCTTCCTCTACACCAATAACAGACTTAAAGAAAGCCAAATCAAGAACGAACTGCCATTCGCAATTGCTACAAAAAGAATAAAATACCTTGGAATACAACTCACAAGGAACGTAAGAGACCTCTTCAAGGAGAACTACAAGCCACTGCTCAATGAAATCAGAGAGGACACAAACAGATGGAGAAACATTCCATGTTCATGGTTAGGAAGAATTAATATCGTGAAAATGGCTATACTGCCCAAAGTAATTTACAGAATCAATGCTATCCCCATCAAGCTACCATTGACTTTCTTCACAGAACTGGAAAAAACCACCATGAACTTCATATGGAACCAAAAGAGAGCCCACATAGCCAAGTCAATTCTAAGCAAAAAGAACACAGCGGGGGGCATCACACTACCGGATTTCAAACTATACTACAAGGCTAGAGTAATCAAAACAGCATGGTACTGGTACCAAAACAGAGATATAGACCAATGGAACAAAACAGAGGCACCAGAGGCAACACAACATATCTACAACCATACAATCTTTGATAAACCTGACAAAACAAGCAATGGGGAAAGGATTCCCTATTTAACAAATGGTGTTGGGAAAACTGGCTAGCCATGTGCAGAAAGCAGAAACTGGACCCCTTCCTGACACCTTACACTAAAATTAACTCCAGATGGATTAAAGACTTAAACATAAGACCTGGCACCATAAAAATCCTAGAAGGAAATCGAGGCAAAACTATCTAGGACATAGGAGTAGGCAAGGACTTCATGAACAAAACACCAAAAGCATTGGCAACAAAAGCCAAAATAGACAAATGGGACCTAATCAAACTCCACAGCTTCTGCACGGCAAAGAAACAGTCACTAGAGTGAATCGGCAACCAACAGAATGGGAAAAAATTTTTGCAGTTTACCCATCTGACAAAGGGCTGATATCCAGAATTTACAAAGAATTCAAACGGATTTACAGGAAAAAAACAAACAAGCCCATTCAAAAGTGGGCAAAGGATATGAACAGATACTTTACGAAAGAAGACATATATGAGGCCAACAATCATATGAAAAAATGCTCATCGTCACTGGTCATCAGAGAGATGCAAATCAAAATCACATTGAGATACCATCTCACGCCAGTTAGAATGGCGATCATTAAAAAATCTGGAGACAACAGATGCTGGAGAGGATGTGGAGAAAAAGGAACACTTTTACACTGTTGGTGGGAGTGTAAATTAGTTCAACCATTGTGGAAGACAGTGTGGCGATTCCTCAAGGCCTTAGAAATAGAAATTCCATTTGACCCAGCAATCCCATTACTGGGTATATATCCAAAAGACTATAAATCGTTCTACTATAAGGACACATGTACACGAATGTTCATTGCAGCACTGTTTACAATAGCAAAGACCTGGAATCAACCCAAATGCCCATTGATAATAGACTGGATTGGAAAAATGTGGCACATATACACCATGGAATATTATGCAGCAATCAGAAATGATGAGTTCGTGTCGTTTGTAGGGACATGGATGAATCTGGAAAACATCATCCTCAGCAAACTGACACAAGAACAGAAAATGAAACACCGCATATTCTCATTCATAGGTGGGTGATGAAAAATGAGAACACATGGACACAGAAAGGGGAGTACTAAACACTGTGGTCTATGGGGGGGAAAAGGGGAGGGCCAGTGGGAGGGGGAGGTGGGGAGGGATAGCCTGGGGAGAAATGCCAAATGTGGGTGAAGGGGAGAAGAAAAGCAAAGCACACTGCCATGTATGTACCTACGCAACTGTCTTGCATGCTCTGCTCATGTACCCCAAAACCTATAATCCAATAAAAAATTAAAAAAAAAAAAAAAAAAAAAAAAAAAGAAAAAATAGAGCTACAACAAAAAAAAAAAAAAAAAAAAAAAAACAAAAAAAAAAAAACTGGAGACAACAGATGCTGGAGATGATGTGGAGAAAAAGGAACACTTTTACACTGTTGGTGGGAGTGTAAATTAGTCCAACCATTGTGGAAGACAGTGTGGCGATTCCTCAATGCCTTAGAAATAGAAATTCCATTTGACCCAGCAGTCCCATTACTGGGTATATACCCAAAGGACTATAAATCATTCTACTATAAGGACACATACACATGAATGTTTATTGCAGCACTGTTTACAATAGCAAATACCTGGAATCAACCCAAATGCCCATTGATGATAGACTGGATTGGGAAAATGTGGCACACATACACCATGGAATATTATGCACCCATCAGAAATGATGAGTTCGTGTCGTTTGTAGGGACATGGATGAATCTGGAGAACATCATTCTCAGCAAACTGACACAAGAACAGAAAATGAAACACCGCATATTCTCACTCATAGGCGGGTGATCAAAAATGAGAACACATAGATACAGAGAGAGGAGTACTAAACACTGGGGTCTATTGGGGGGAAAGGGGAAGGCCAGTGGGAGGGGGAGGTGGGGAGGGATAGCCTGGGGAGAAACGCCAAATGTGGGTGAAGGGGTGCAAGCAAACAGAACACACTGCCATGTGTGTACCTATGCAACTGTATTGCATGCTCTGCACATGTACCCCAAAACCTAAAATGCAATAAAAAAAAAAGTATATATAACCAAGCAATTTTCCTCTTAGGTTTATACCCCAAAGAATTAAAAACATGTTCAAACAAAAACTGTAATTCAATGTTCATGTCAATTCATAGCAGCCAAAAGGTAGAAACAACCCAAATGTCCATCAGCTGATGAATAAACAAAATGAAATATTATTCAGCCACCAAAAGGAATGAAATACTGATATACACTGTAATACAGATGAACCTAAGCAGCAAGATGAAAAAGCCACATAGTATATAATTGCATTTACATAAGACATTCAAAATACATATACCCATAGGGACAGAAAGAAGGTTAGTATTGCTAGGGCCTGGGAGGAGGAAGAAATATAGAGTAACTGCTTATGGGTATAGGGTTTCCTTTTTGGATGATGAAAATGTTCTGGAACTAGATAGAGTTAATGGTTGCACAACATTATGAAGTACTAAATGACACTAAATTATACACTTTAAAATGGTGCATTTTTACCATTTAAAAAAAAAGGAGTGGACTAAGAAAAAATACCTTGATTTTTTCACTTTCCTTTCTCACTCGCTTTGCATTTTCAATAATGTAAACAGTGCTTTTGTTGACTTCATTGTCAGCTCTGTGTCTCAGCCAATCCTCATATCCCTGAAAGATAAAAATAACTATATAATAGAGTTCAGATACTGAATAAAGTTAATAAATTTCTGTATACTCCCCTGAGTCAACAGCATGTATTTATATTTATAGCATTAATTTAAACTTAGCCTGTTAAAGACACAATGCTGTATATTTTAATAGCAAATCTGAGATATACTTTCAAAATACCCCTTAGGTAAATAGCTTTTTTAAATCTACTTCAGATGAAAAGTCCAAAGTAAAACAAGCCATTAGATCTTTCTATGATTACTTTTAACTGTAGTTAAAAGTAAAATACAGTGTTGTTTTCTCCATTCTTTAGATAAACATTAATGAAAACACGAGCATTAGGGACTTACTATTTTGTATTTGTGAAAGACTATGATTGATTCTAATTGTAGTCTTTTTCAAGTCAATGTTAATTCTCTCTACTTTTTAATTTTGAAAAAAGATTGTCCTGGGTTTGTATTTTCTCATAGCCATAATCACTTACACATAATCTTTTGTACATGCTGTAGTAGACTGTTCGAGTAATCATCTCCAAGGGAGTATTTTAATTGTTTCTCACCCACAAAGAATAGAAAAGGCAAGCTAGGATTGTTTTGGCAGAGAAGCTATAAGTTTTAGAGATCAACAGCTAAACTTTTCAACGAACTTAGTGATAAAAAAAAATACAAATTGGTATCAATTTTTACATTTGATCTTAGCCAAAAGGCCGAGAAGCTATAGGTATCCATTTTTTAGAGTTAAAAGTAATCAAAGAAAGATCTAATGGCTCATTTTACTTTGGACCGTTCATCTCAAGTAGATTTAAGCCAGAAGATCTAAAGAAGGAGGATGTTCATTTGTTTGAGCATGACCTCTCATTTTTTATATACCTTTGCCTTGTTCATTGTAATGATGTCTGTACCTTTTAAAATACAACTGTTTGAAAAATCTCTTCATTGCCTCCCCCGACTTTTTTCCCCTCAGGTGCTATATCTATTCTTCTTCTGTCCTCTTTATGACAATACTAGGCTATCACTTTATAGGGTACATTCTGTGATGCTGGTAAAGAAATAAAGGCCCTAACATGAACCAGTATTGGGAGTAGAATGAATCAGTTAAAAAGCCTTTGAAAACCACACATGCTATTCTTGGAACCAGCAATTTTATGATGTTAAAGAAAATAATCCTACCAGCCTAAGGGAAAGAACATTCCAAAAGTCTTTATTTTGCAACTGAACACTTGATAAAATACTCTTATAGTTCCTGATAGGCAAGATATAACACCAGATAACCCCAAGAGGAAAGGTAATCTTGTTCCCAGTACTGCTAAGACCTTTTTTTTTTGCAAGCTTCTTTGGTATCCTTTTTAAAAGCACTTTGTTAAGTATCATCTAAAAGTATGTTTGTAAATAGATCCTGTGGACTGATACAACACATGATTAACACTGTTAACCTACCCTTTCACCTCCAGTTTTATGTTTCTATTTTTCATCTGGAATTTTTCAAACATACTAGCATACAAAATGTTCAAAATACTTCAAAGACATCCGTATCACAATCTGTGGCGTTCTATCAGCTCTGACCAAAAAAAAAACCAAAAAACCAGGAAATGTCCCCTCTATCTACTTACCCCCTGCAGCAGTATCAGGAAAAAAACAATAAAACTATTCTTTGAGTTCTCTGCTATAGGCAAAAACAATTTTAAAAATCCACAAAAATGGGAGTTTTTCACATAGACATACCACACTGAAACAATTAATGTGCATTAAAAATCTACCTCCTATTTCCCGACTGGGCTATACCTTTTACCTGCTTTCTTTTACGTTTACACCCCCTCACACAGATATTGAAGAGGAAACAAGGAAATATTAAGGATGTGCTTTATTATCATTTTAATAGGTTAACAAATATCAAACAAGTAACACATATCAAATAAATCCAGACAGGCATGGTGGCTCACACCTGTAATCCCAGCACTTTGGGAGGCCGAGTTGGGCAGATCACCTGAGGTCAGGAGTTCAAGACCAGCCTGACCAATATGGTGAAACCCTGTCTCTACTAAAACTACAAAAATTAGCTGGGCGTGGTGGCAGCTACTCGGGAGGCTGAGGCAGGAGAATTTCTTGAACCAAGGAGGCGGAGGATGCAGTGAACCGAGATCACATCACTGCACTCCAGCCTGGGCAACAGAGTGAGACCCTGTCTCAAAAAATAATAATAAATAATAAAATAAAAGTAAATCCATAGAAGATAATGCCCACTGTATATAAATATGAAAAAGGGCCTTTGACAATGAAATTCCAACAAGCCTGGACTGAAATGCAATTGCAAGTATAAGTAAGAAATTTACCTGCTTGATGGCTGTAACAGTTATAACAAAGAAAAGTGGAAGTCCACTGGTAACTGGGCTAGTTGGTGTGTCTACTGTGACCTAGGTAAAGAAATTAAATTGAAAGTAAAATGAAAATTAGTTATTAACTCATATGCAGCATTTTACATGCTGCAAACCTTTCAAACAGAAACATAGACGAAACACATTCCAGTAGTAGGGTAAATATTAATTTTCATTAAAACAAGAGCAAACCAAAAATGACAGTTTAACAAATAGTCCGAAATTCAAGCATAGTTTTTATCCCAGCTCAGATTAACCCCTTTATTGAAATATATCCATTCACTTACCACCTATTTGGTAAGTACCATTCTGTCAGCCCTTGTGCTATTATTAGCCAAGCTCTAGATACACTGCTTTAAAGAAGATGAAGACAAGTCCCTGCCTTCATGTAGCTGGCAGCTTATAGGAAAAATCAGATAGTAAAACAAGTATGTAGATGCTGAGGTCTGAAGGGTAAAAAGAAGTTAACTAAATGAAAGATAGTTTTCTAGGCGCAGTGAACAGTATATGCAGGTCTTCGGGAAATAAAGGAAGTCAGTGCCAAGAGGGAGTGTGGTGTGAGATGGGGCTGGAGAGGGAGGCAGGAGCCAGTCTGTGCAGGGCCCTCTAGGCCAAAGAAAGCTGTTCATTCTTTATCCCACAAATAACAGGAAATCCTTGAAAGTTTTAAACAAGGAAAAGTCACATGAACAGAACTGCACTTTGAAAAGATCATTCTCACTCCTCTGTGGAAAATGAATTAGAAGTGAAAAAAAGTGAAGGCAGGGTCATTTAGGAGGCTATTTCTGTAATCTAGGTGAAGATGATGGCTTGGACTAGAGTGTTAGCAGACATGGAAAGAAGTTCTATAAATATTTGGCAGGCAAAAATGGCAGGAGTTAGAGGGTAAGTGCTTATTAAAGATGTCTCCCAAGTATCAGGTTACCATGCCTTAGGTGGATGTTGTCATCATTCACTGAGACGGAAAATACTGAACGAGAACTAGATTTAAGGGAAGATGGTCATGAATACAATCTGCCCTCACAACTTATTGACTCTCATCTCTAACCCTCCATCAGGCCTGCCCCTGCCATACACGTGTGTACGTGTGTTGTAGATACAACATATACATCCATGTAAGGCTTCTACATGCTTCTATCACTTTAGGCAATCTCTTCCCTGTCCCCGAAATACCAGTTCAGCATTCTCCACCAGGTAAACTGCTTCTAATCCTTCAAGGCTCCATTAAGATACCATCTATTTTCTGAAGACTTCTCAAATTCCTCTTGGGGAGAAAAAAATGATAACTTATACTGTATACCCAAAGCATTTTGTTCATGCTTCTTGAATGGCTTTAAGTTAAGTGAATACATAACTGTTATGTGACTGGTCTTCTTAGCTATAGCATAAATTCCTTAAGGGTAGAAAAGCTGTATCTTGATCTTCATTGTACCTGCTACCATTTTTGTTGTCTGTCCTACTGCATAGCACACAGTAAGTGGGTGAGTAGCATACATTTGCTGAATTGAAATGAAATTCACTGCCCACCAAGTAGAATGATTCTTGCAAGCAGAATCCTCGAGGTAGTTTATTCTATGTTCGTAAGACATCTGACCATGGATCCAGAGGAGGTCCTTTTCAAATCTTCCATCATTCATGATTAAAATAGGCTCTTGCCCATATTATATCCAGATAGATTTTAAGTAGCAAGGCTAAATTCAATTATAGCACCATTTACTAAAATGCTTAAAGTGAGTAAACAGAAGCACTTAACATCAACAAGGCATTTAAGCAATTTCATTGGGATTTTTCTGCTTCATTTAAAAAATGAAATGAGAAAAAAAGTACCTTTAATGTAAAATTTTCAGGGGCAATTATAGCGAGGAAAAGATTCTAATAGCTTACAGATTCAAAGATGGAAGATGCAATTTAAACTGTCTAAAATTTAAAATGCAAAACAGTAGAAAGAATACAGAGAAGCAGATTAATCTACTAGGCTCTCACCCTTAAAGTGAGTAAATGAATGAGGGAGAGCAAAAATGGTAATCAGGAAGATGAGTGAGAAGTTTCCAATTAGGCTGAAACTGGTATGTAACAAAATAAAACTATTAGTTTGAACTATTTTCAATTTTGATATATTCCATTTCATTTAATGGTACACAATACACATTGTCCTAGGAAGAGCAAAGATATGAAACCCATGAAAGTTTCAAAGAAAATAATGAAATAAATTCTCAACAGGTTTTCTAGCAAAAATGCCACTTTAGAAATCCATAAAATGATCACCTTTAAATGGTATGTTTCTTTCTACTTTTTTAAGAGGTCATATTATAATAAGCTCTGGAATGTCTTTTTTTATTACATGGCATTTTAAGGTTAGAAATAGACTGAAAATTTGTTTGAAGCAATCAAGTTTCAACGTTAAGTGGCTGTTTAAGGAGCTCTTACCTGTACAAGGAAAATTATAAGAAAATAAAAATTTGCAATTCTTCTAAACTGTTCAAACAGATTCTTTGGGAGAAAATTCCAAAGTGTATACTGTAAGGGAGGAAGAAAAAATAACACTGTTATGAAGGAAACTTGAAAAACCTTAATAGTAATGACTGATCACGGGTCCACATTATCATACAAAGTGATATTTAGTATGTCCAACTCATTGAAATCCAAACCTCACACATACGCATAAGCATATATTTAGAGACACAGTATATAAAAACCTTTTTCAGAACTAATGTTTTCATTCTAAGCATTACAATAGTCATCTAGTCTCATACCTTTGCTTTCTCTGACCCGATCCAAATTAGGTTCCTTGTTATGTATTCTCATGTCATCCTATATATACTTACTTAATAACACTCATTATAGTGAATTATATATGTGTACATTTTAAATTAAGGTTTCTCTCTCAATAAGCACTGAGTTCTATAGGGGCAGGTTATTCACCTGTATTGTTTACATTTTTCCCAACACTTAAAACAGTGCCTGGTACAAGGTAGACACTAAATTATTTGAATGGCCAGGCACAGTGACTCACGCCTGTAATCCCAGCACTTTGGGAGGCCGAGGCAGGTAGATCACCTGAGGTCAGGCATTCGAGACCAGTGTGGCCAACATGGCAAAACCCTGTCTCTACTAAAAATACAAAATTTAGCCAGGTGTGGTAGCACACACCTGTAAATCTCAGCTACTCGGGCAGGTGAGATAGGAGAATCACTTGAAACTGGGAGGCAGAGGCTGCAGTGAGCTGAGATCTCGCCACTGCACTCCAGCCCAGGCAACAGAGTGAGAGCCAGACTCCATCTCAAAAAAAAAAAAAAAAAAAAATGCCTCGGCAACATGGTAAAACCTCATCTCTACTAAAAATACAAAACTTAGCCAGGCATGGTGGTGCATGCCTGTAGTCCCAGCTACTCAAGAGGCTGAGGCACAAAAATCACTTGAACCCAGGAGCAGGAGGCAGAGGCTGCAGTGAGTGAAGATCACATCACTGCACTCCAGCCTGGACTACAGAGCAAGATTCTGTCACCAGACAAACAAACAAATAAAACAAACAAAATAAAATAAAAATTAATTAATTGGAGGAATGAATGGACACATTAATCCTGGCTCAGCTAACCTCTGGAGTCTTGATGATTATAACAGATACCCCTATGAATCACTCTGTCCTTGTGAGTACCTATAATTTCCATGACAGCTAGGAAGGTGTATATACAACCCTGGGCCATGGAGGGCTTTCATTTTAATCAATAACACACCACTCTGGGCTGGGCTTTGGTAATTGGCAATAGGTAAAAGTTTCATACTAAATTGCACATGGTCAGAAGAAGAGAACTCAGGCCAACTGTCAAACCATACGTATTTTGTAACTGATACCTTAAGCTCAAGGACTGAATCACTTAAAAGTGACCAGAAAAAGTTGAATTTTTGAGATGACCTAGTAAGACCAGAAACTAGAAAGAAATGTTTCTTTACCAAAAAGGCTAAATTTACAGTTGAGTGATCTTCATCCCAATTATGTGCATAATATATGAGAATATATCCTTTAATACGGTGACTGAAAAGCCAAGTCATATTGCTCGACATAATATATGGGAATTTACTAACCTTTCAGTTTAAAAAGGCTTATGGGCTCAAAATTTAGGGAATCCTGAGAGAAAAAAGACAAAAGGAAGCAAATACATTCAGTAGAACAGCTGCATTACAACCAATAACCAACTTAGAAAAGAAAAGGTTCTACCCTGCAGTCCAAGAAGTGCCTTAGGGAAAATAATTTTAAAATAAATGCAGAATTGTGCATGGGTATGCATCACTGAGGAGAATAAAGTCCACATTTTTCATGAGATTCCCAAGGTAGCTTGTGACCAAAAATAGAAACCATTCAAAACCACTGATCCAGTCACTTTGAAGCTGACACAGGGCAGACCAGCATTTTTAACTGTGCCAGTTACTTAAAATCAGCTTCTAAAACAATAAGGTAAACTCCAACAACAGGCTAATGACTGAGCTTCTGGTATGTTACCCTTGTGTTCCCAAATTAAAATGTTTTTAATTATTCAAATAAGCGTTAAAGACAGTGTCATCTGTGAAAGGTGACATAAACACATCAAAAAGGAATACTTTTTGTTGTTGTCGTTTTTAAGTTCCAACTATCAGTTTACCACTGTCTTATTAAATGAACTGCTCTAATTATTCCCTTCATAGGAAATGACTGCCCTCTTCTCTCCTTCATCAGGTCATGAGCTATTAAGAGATCAGGGAGCATGTCACATGTCTCCTTACCACAGGTGCCTAGAACAATAGGTAGAACCATAGCTTAGCACATAGAAAGTATATAAGAAATCTTTATTCAAACTTGTGCCCTAACCATTTACTCTACTGGTTTAACTAAAAGGTAAACTTAGTTTCTATCACATCTTTTTTATTACAACACAAATGTAATATTTTATTGCAGACCAAGAAAAGTCTACTTTTTAGAATTGTCTAACTGAAAGTAAAATTTAGGTCAGCCATATACATCAAGTTATTCAATTAACTTGTTTATCTAAAAAGTAGACTCTCCCGCTGGGTCAGTTGCTACAAACCAAAAACAATGTTATCTCAAGCATGACCTCCAGGGCAAAAAAAAAAAAAAAAGTTAAAATAACAAAAAGAAAATGTGTATAACAGTTTTTTAGACACAATGATGAGAATTCAGTTTTTGTTACAAGTTAGTTCTTACTTGGAGATGTCATTAAATATTATCTATCTGTCTATTTATTTACTGAGACAGAGTGTCACGGGCTGTCACCCAGGCTGGAGTGCAGTGATGCATTTCCAGCTCACTGCAGCCCCTGCCTCCTAGGCTCAAGCAATCCTCTCACCTCAGCCTCCTGGGTTACTGGGACTACAAGCACACGCCACCATCCCTGGCTAATTTTTTTATTTTTTGTAGATATGGGCTCTCCCTCAGAGTGAACCATTTCCCAGGCTGATCTTGAACTTCATCTGCCTCAGTTTCCCAAAGTGCTGGGATTACAGGTGTGAGCCACCACACCCAGCCTCTTTTATACTATCATTAAGTGCAACTATAAACTTTAAAAGTAGCCCAAACATTTAGAACATGTTTAAAACTATTTCTACAGAAAACACCAGCTTTGGACTGGGCACTGAGGCTGGTGGATCACCTGAGGTTAGGAGTTGGAGACCAGCCTAGCCAACATGGCAAAACCCCCGTCTCCATTAAAAATACAAAAAATTAGCCAGGCATGGTGGTGGGCACCTGTAATCCCAGCTATTGGGAGGCTAAAGCAGGAGAATTGCTTGAACCAGGAGGTAGAGGTTGCAGTGAGCTGAGATCGTGCCACTGCATTCCAGCCTGGGTGACAGAGAAGACTATCTGGAAAGAAAGAAAGGAAAGAAGGGAGGGAGGGGAGGGGACAGGAGGGGAGGGGGTAATGCCAGAGAAGACTCTATCTGGAAAGAAAGAAAGTAAAGAAGGGAGGGGAGGGGAGGGGACAGGAGGGGAGAGGGTAACGCCAGCTTTCCCAGTACACACAATGCATTCTATATCTGGTTTGTAGTGGATTAAATAATCTGTACACAAATGTGGTCACTAAAGATGAAATTATGTGAAAAAGTTTTGGGTCACTGGCTCAAGTATATGCCATCTAATTTGAGACCAAAATCTTATAAACTTAACTAAGCAAATTTCCCAAAGGAGGAAAGTAGAAGAGAATCTCAGCTTTGAGAGTCAATTATTTCATTTAAGCAAAAGGAGGCCTTAGAACTTTACTTGTTTTTATCAGTTCTGTTTTACCCAAGATTTCCAATTTATCATTAAAAATGCTGATGATTTAGCATTAAAAATGCTGATGAGGAACCTAAGACTACAAATAACTTTTTCTAATGTGTATGAATAGCAGCAAAAAATAAAAAGAAAAAGATAAAAATAAAGTAGTAGATATTTAAAGTAATAATAAAGTTAGCAGTTTAGGAGGAGGTCAAGGCAAGTGGATCACCTGAGGTCAGGAGTTTGAGACTAGCCTGGTCAATACAGTAAAACCCCATCTCTACTAAAAATGCAAAAAATTAGCTGGGTGTGGTGGTGGGCACCCATAATCCCAGCTACTCGGGAGGCTGAGGTAGAAGAATTGCTTGAACCTGGGACGCAGTGGCTCATGCCTGTAATCCCAACACTTTGGGAGGTTGAAGCAGGGGGATTACTTGAGGTCAGGAGTTCATGACCAACCTGGCCAAGATGGTGAAACCCCATCTCTACTAAAAGTACAAAAAAAATTTTTAATTTTTTTTTAATTTTTAAAGAATAAAAACACACAACAGACAAACATGATGGAAACTAAAGATCCTAAAATTCACAGCAGAGTACAATCAATATTCCTTTTGCTAAAAAAGGGAATTTCCAAGTTTTGCACCAGCTACAAAATTCTGGTGATTTCCAAAGTCCCTGCAGAGCACATTAAAGTTGTGAGGCTGTAGAGGACAAGTTTTTGTAAAGAAAGTATTTGTGATCCCAGGAGAAAAAAAAAAGAGCACTAATTTTATAAGCAAATAAAATTTAAAGTAGGTCAAAATGTTTGTCTTCAGTATTCCGGGCCTTAACAACACTTATAAAATGACACATTACTGATGGTATTTGTAAACAAAAGAAGCATTCAATTAAGATAGTTATTTTTATGATTGAAGGGTGGAGAAAGAAAATCAACACTTGCTACAAAGTTGGAAGGCAGCTAACATATTCTATAAAAACAGTATATTTTGAAAAAATAATCTTTAAAAAAATTCTGATATAAATACAACAGCCAAGACAATGTGAGGAAGAAAAAGTCAAATTATAAAATTGTTGGTCTTTACAGAGTAGACCTGAAGGCCTCCATTTAGAAGTATCCCACACATTCAAAACACATGAACCTGAGGAAATCAATAGTACTACTCGGCATGGTAATAATAATCACAGAAACACAAATAACAAAAGCAGCTACCATTTGAGTTGTCGCCCCATGCCAGGCACAATGCAAGAGGAGAGAAAAAAGATGAGGAAGGAACCTAAACAGCACAACAATGTAAAAAGGGCTCTTTATTCAGAGCAACTAGACCTTATAAAGTTTTACTACTGGTTTTATTACTAACTCTGCTTGGTGACCATGTCACTATATTTCTCTGGCTTTGGTTTCTCCATCTGTAAAGTCAATAAATTGAACAAGATAACCTCTTAAGACCTTTCAGCTCTGTTAAGTCCACAATTCTGAATCAAAGGACTACTACTGACCATTTAATTGGCTACAAGGTGAGTCAAAATTTCCAGTAAAATATCTTTTCACTATTTTAGGCACAAATATGTAAACCTCTGGCTGAGAATAAAATTTCTGCCACAATGTATAAGATTAACAGGAAATAGACATTTTTATCCAAAATAAAAAGTTCTATAGGCCAACAGATCTGCCCATTAGGCAGGCAACAAAATCTTCACCTGTCCTGACCATACTTTACATGTTAATCTCCTGGCTAACATAATCACTACTGTATCACCACCCAAATGAGAAATTAAATGCATATTTGAAAAACAAAATGTCATATATTTTTAAGGAAGGGCCTAATTTTGTGTTTGAGGTTCTAAGTGATTACAAGTGTACAGTGAACCAAATGTCACCAACATTTATCTCTGTCTTGCCAGGGCACATGAGGAAGTGAGGAATATCTTAAGATCTATTCCATTGTACAAGAGATGGCAGTAGGCTAACCTAGCACCTAACCTGGTCAGCCAGAGGTAAAGATTAGCTAAATAACACCTGTAGAATGATGACTACTGGGTACTGGGAGCTATAAGAAGGGGTTTCACACATAGAGTATTAGCCCCATTTCACCAATGTGGACATTTAGACTCAGGGCGATTAATTTGGCCAAGATGACACAACTAGTACATGGTTGGGCAAGGATTTAAATACAGGTGTTCAGACTTCCAGGCCAATGCTCTTAGTCCTACACTATACTGAAGTAAGATGTATTCAAACAGTGACACAGCTGCAGTGATTTAACTCTTAACAGATCACAGGTGAAGGAGTGTACTGCGCAGCATGCACCCTTTGGGACATAAGACTGTATTTATACTTGAGAAGTGGGATGGGAGGTGGAGAGGTTGGCAGGGATATTAGAAAGAGATGCAAATAGTCATTCCAGGACAGCTCTCTCCAAAAGAATGCAAATCATTTATATCCTAGATCAGCCATTCAAGGGTAATTCAGGAAGCTTTGCACAAGTAAATAATTTCTATTTTTAGCACACTTTAAGGTTTAATGTAATACACATAATCAACAAGCACTGTGAATCATAATGGAAGGCAAGTGAATGATCTTTCACCTATAACAAGCAAAGTGATTTTTTAAAATAAACTTTCAGAGGAATACTTAACATAGCTGGTATATGATCTGTATAAGTGCACATACATGTACATATATATAAATGCATCAGTGTCCTCAGAAGCATAAATTAGAATAAATGCATTATCTGATTCACTATATGAACATCTATTGAGTTAAAACAAAAACTTACCTTAGATGAAACTATTCTATTATCACAAAATCTTTGTGCAATGTAAGCTTCTGTTTCTGAAACTGGATGATTGCCAACAAATACTGTGCGTGTACCAACTCGTTTCTCTTCTCCAGCACACTGACCAAGAGAAAAGGAAAAACAATCAGTTTTTCATCACATTTCTTCACACTTCTACCAAGCCCAGGATTCTTGTCTAAGCATGTTGGGCTATAATCTGGGGAGAAAGTAGTAGGGATAGGAGAAAATCTTGTTAGGAAATTCAAAATCCACTAAGCTCTTACTTGCTGACATAGTAAAGATTACCAAAAGTGTTGCTTGAACCAACTGTTCTGAGGTCAATGGTGCAATTCTAAAATGATTAAAGAAAGTATCCTAGAGAAACAATATTTTTACTGCCAATCATTTTTCTTTCATCCACAGCTCAAATGAATCTTAATCATAACCTTCACTAGCAACACAGTAACTTAAGAAAGAAAGAACTGGGAATATTTCATTCATTATGCAACTACTGAGGACAACCTTGCCAACTACCTTACTAGAGAACAGAAAGAACAATGCAGATTACTTCTAAACACAAAATTATTGTGTATAAGTGTACAGGTCAGAAATAGAATGGCTGCCACTAATGAAGAAATGATCAACTTTTTGTACAAGGCAACTGTAATTATTTGGCTTTATAGGATAGAGTGTATTTTGCAATCTCTCAGAACCTTATTGTTGTAAAGTCCCATTTTACACAATATATTTCTCATGCCCCTTTTACATTTTTAATAAGTAGACTCACTGAATCTAAAAGTTTCAAGATTGGGCTCCATTTTATCCCACTCTTTAATTTTGCTGAGGCCTCACTCTCTTTGCTTAAATCAGGATAATACCCTTTTCTTATATAAATTTGAGAGTCTCCTTTTATGGTACTATATTACCATATCTGAGACTTACCTCATATTTAAGTCACAGGATGTATGATAGAAACCAATATCCATTTGTATATTCTCATTATTTTTTAGAAATATAATTCCCCAACCTAAAATGTTTTAATATATGTAGTCACAAAGATCTTCCTTCCTTTCAGTGATCTATTTAAAGGTCAAAGATGAAATCCCACCCTCAAAGTAATCATTTTAAGCAAGACTACTAAGAACTTGTAGTCTTCCAATTATCTACAATGTCTGAATGTATTCCAGTCTGAATTTGTGCATCTTAGGTAGACAGTATATATAAAATAATTTCTTCATTTTAAAAAATAAAGACCACCCCAAAGTACAGACAAAACCTCCTTGCCTTACATTTTCATTTAAGCTTATGATATTGCCTTCAAAATTTGTAGAGAATCATGCAAAAAGTAACTGGGACAAACTGAAATAGGAGAGAGATTCAGGCTGTATGTAACTCTGGAAAGCTACCCTGGCATGTGCTAAGGGAATCTGCGGGATCCCTGGAGACCTGGAAAAAGTCAGTAAGTATCTATGCTGGATAGCTTAGTTATTTATCTGCCTGCCCAAAGACAAGGCATTAGAACAACTGATTGTCCAAGGTCCTCTGCATACTAAGAGTAAATGATTCATAGGTAAATTTTCACACAGTTCCTAGAAACAAGTAAACAGTATGTTCACCAAGTGATAGCTGTGATTTAGTGACTTACTTCTCTGTTTGCAATTGTAATACACAGGTTCTGACACAGCTTACTGGTAAGAACACCAAATTTTCCATAATATCCATTTTATAAACCTTAAAGTGAAAGCATATGCACATGCCAGATGTATGGTTTATTTGGCTTCGCCCCGGCTCCCACCTTCTGTTGCAGGTTAAGGCCTCTCTGTGGTCTCCAAAACAGATCTGACTCTTATATCATACCAATTTGAATTACAGAAAATGTCAAGTCTACATATACATTGTAATTTGCAACCTTTAATTTAATATTCATATGGCTGTTTAGTTTTTCACATAAGCAAGAAGTGGCTGTAGAGTAAATGAGGCAGAGTTACCTTTTATACAAGTTCTTAGTTAATTCTACAAGTTGAAAGGGAGAAGAGGCAAAGGAGTTAGAGAATCAGTGAAGTAGGATATGTCATGTGATGCCATTATGGATTATTCCCCTGAATTACAGCAACCACTGATTAACTTAGAAATGGATTAGTGCTTTCCCAATTCTGAATTGTCTTCTATAGTCTGTGCCAAAGAACAAAAGGAAAAGGCACGGCACAATTTTTTAAGCACACTGATATTTTTATGAATTCCCTACATTTGAATGATATTTCCAGTTTCACTAAGAGCTTTCCTCATATATTATCTCTCTAATCTTTTCTGAATAAGGCATAGGTGACCTCTACCTCCATTAAATTGGAGAAAATGGATTGAAATTACTATGCAGGTTTAGGGTTATGTGTGTGCGGATCCTGGCAGTGACTGTTGTTAGATGATGAAACGGAAGCCTGAAAGAAGCTGCAGAATGCCCACTTTTGAGCATTTTCCAAAATTACCCAAACAGGTTTGGGTTGAAAAGTGCCTGAGGACTGGGGGTAGGGGAGTATGAAGTAGGTGACTTTTCCATGCCTGTTTCACCCTAAAAGCTTATGAACCTGCAATATCTGGTGGAATTTCCTGCAACTGTATAATAATATTTGGTTCACATTAAAAAAAAAGCAATGCTGAACTCGTGTAAATATACCGTTAACTGTCCACCTGCTGCCAATATAGAGTGTTAAAACAGTGCTGTTATTTCCTTTGATTTTGAGTAATGTAGATGTCTTTGCCAAAGCAGAGAAACGCTAAGTAGAAATCATTTTAAAAATTCCCATTTGGATGGCACGCAGTGTAGTCTGGAGTGGGAGTGTGTGATTCCTGCCACCTCGTAATGAGTTGCAATTCATTAGGAGTCCATCCTGTTCTGAACTGCTTCCCATTCAATTGTCCTTGAGAACAGCATTTCTTAAAACTTGGAATATGCTGGTACTTATTCTATTTTAATGAGACATCACACTACATGATAAAGTATGGCAAATATTAAAAAGTATGTTTACATTATAAATTAACAGAGAAAACAATGTAAATTTCTTCCTCATGATAAAAAATCCACCTTTTGTAGTCCTAATTTATACTTCCACAGTATAAACTGAATACCGTAAAAAAATAATTTATACCCCAAAATGGCCTCTCAATAAAAAAACCTAACAGACTAATTATTTAACTAATTATTTAAAATCCTATGTCTTTGCTAGTCATAGAAAATGAAAAGCCACTGGAAACAAAATTTGTTTCCTGATTGCCTCCAGACCAGTGACTAGATAAGAACTGAAGAAAAATAGAGACCTCAATACAAGACTGTCACTATAAAAGCTAGCACAGGATCTGAAATAAAGCCTACCTCTACATCGTTTCCAGGTGCTACAAGACTTAAATTTATCAGTTAGCCATAGATTTTTGACTCTTAATCCTGATCACAAAGTGGCTTTAAACACAATACCGATGCCTGGGTATTTTATTTAATATTTAATTTTTCTGGAAGCTCCCCAGGTGACAATTCTAATTTGCAACCACAGCTGAGAATTACTGCCACAGACTCTCTCTTTCAAACAGTAATCACCCTTAAACAACATCCTATGATTTTTAGTATGCCATCCATAATCTTGCACTACTTCTTTAATTTAAATAATTTAAACAATTTCCTTTCCAAAGGTTAAGAATACAAATAAGCCTCAAATATTGTTCTGTCCAACCATTTTAAGCTACTCACAAAGATTCTCCTTCAATAATTTATTTTGCATGTGGTTAATCTCCCTTCAGTTATTGAGATCATTAATAATGAGAATTACAGGCCCTGATACAATGCAAAGCTACCTGGATTATCAGCAAATAATCTTAAAACTGATGTAATCCCTGGCAGTCACAGCATTATTTTTATTGGTCATCAAACTGCTTTCTGAAAGTTACTACAGCAAATAAAAGTATTTTCTCAAAAATGAACAACAAAAATCCTTATTAAAATCTGAAGACTTGGCAATGATTTAAAACGGTTCTCCACACTCCAGCCCAAAGCTATTTTCTTCTCTGAAGCAGGAATATTTTTGAACAGCATAATGTCTTAAAAAGGCCAAATTCAAAACTCAAAGAGCATCTCATCAAAATTTCAGATGTCTATTAAAATGCTCCCAGAAGTCAGCATTTCCATACTAGGGCTGAAGGGGTGGGAGTACAGGGAGATCATTACAGTTCCAGGGAACATTTTCAGTGTATTGAGCTTCTTGGTTAAAATAATTACAATGTATTCAGTGGCCAAATTGCTGAGGTTCCCAAGCCCACTCCATTATAACAAGCAAAGCTGAATAAACTTGATGTGTAATTTACAATCACAACTCTAAAATGATCCTTAAAATTGCACGTTTCAGATTTTGCTTTTACTGCAACTTCTATAAGTGATTAAGCCAAAGGAAGTGAAGCAAGACCAATAGGGCATTTTGTGTTGTTCTGCCTTTAAAGTTTAATTACGGTCATATTAACGGAAATTCTCAAACACCTGACCAAAGGACAACTGAATACACAAAGTTCATCCCTAGACATAAATTTCTCTAATTAGGCATTGCCCAATGGCAGCATATTTAATTGAATAAAACCTGTTATAGGAAATGGATATTAAGCCTCACATAAACACCTAAATCAGCAAGCACAAGGCTTAAGAAAAAGCACTGATCATGAGGATTTGGTTAAGAACAATGCCCTGTTTGGAAGCTCAGAGTGGACCTTTGATTATCTCAAACTGATCCACTGAGCAGTTTAATTTCAACAGTGACAATCAATTCTAAGTGTTCCCAATCTGATCCCCTTCCTCCACCATGCCCTTACTCCAAGAACTTCAGGGCTACAGAAATTGTGGCTCTAAAGACTAAAATGCAGCTTCATTACAGGATGGCTAGTAGAAAGTTGATGGATCGAAAATACTGTAAACATTTTGTGATCAAGGTTCTAACAGGAGTTTTATCTTTTAATGACTCGGGTTCTTCCATTTATAGGAAGGAACCAGAGACTCAACTTTCCTTATTAATAGAATCTTTCCTAACCCAAAGCCTGACAATATGCACAAAAAATTAACTAGCAAGTACACAAAGCCTCAGAAGTTCCCTTTCACTTTCACCCTACCCATCTTTACACACAGCCTTTCATTCTAAACACTCAACAAAATTAATTTAAAACTCTAAATAAAGAGATTTTTAACTCTAAAGATAGGAGCGGTGAGGCTGACAATCCAGTTAACCATTTACAATTACCCTCAGGAAATAGATAAAAATATACATGCAAATAAAAAGCAGGAATAAGCAGGCCCCAGGCCTCAAAGCCCAACCTAGCTGAAAAAGATGAGAATAAAATACGGATTACAAACCTCAGAGGCTGGTGGGAGAGATGGGACCATCTGCATACTGACATGCAGAAATTTGCGAACACAATGGCAGCTAAATCTCAGAGAGAATGCTGCAGATTATCAAGCAACTTGTACCAACCCCTGTGATCCTTGTAAAGTTTCCCAGAACTTGGGAAGTGAGCCAACTGTGGCTTGCCTAGTTCCTGTACTTCCATGGGAGGCAGCAAAGAAAGCCATCAGGGGACAGTCCATTCCTTAAGAGTTCAAAACAGTACTCTAGAGGCCTTGGCCCCATTATTTCATCATTTTTTTGTTACTCTTCTACAAAGACCTGCCTTGCCTTGGTAACTTTTGTATTTTAAGGTGTTATTATTTTAAAATATCAGTATCTTACACCACACAACAATTTCTCCTTATCTTGGGAAGTTCTTTTCTAATCCCTGCCTACAATAAATGGACCACAATAAAAAGTGAGGCTAAACAATAAGCTTCTGAGGAAAGTTGAATTGAACTTTTGGTTGTAGTTTAACATAATCTAAGTATTTGCTATGATACAGAGTTTCCCCACCTCAAGAGAGTGACTGTAATATTGTAAATTCAAGCTTCAAAAATATATACAAGGCCTAAGCAGACAGTTTATGTGGAAAGGTCCCTCAGAGATGGAAGATTTTTCTCACTATTTAGATATCTCATAGGTAAGAAAGTTTTATCTCAGCAGCCAACAGTAATATCTAACAATTGCAAGGAAAAAAGCTGCTATTAGGGAGAAAAATGCGTTTACCAATTATCATTACCTAGAAGAGATAAATTCTCATCCAAAAATTACTTTCTATATCAGCAGAGAAGAATTTCTATTACAGTATAAGAGGAGACAAGAAACTGGCTGGAGCAAAAGAAAAAATACTGTAAAAGGGGTGTCTGATGACCTGAACAGGGTTTTATTTCCCGTTTCAGTGATAGTGTAATTACTATAAAAGTAGTAAGTTTCCTAGAAAGGTCTGCCAGTTCAAATATAAGTTGGAGTGTGTTCAGCAAAACCAATGAATGCATTTTTGCAAGTAAACTGTTAAATACCATACACGCAAACTGGCTTAAAAACTGCCCAAGCTGTAAATGTAATTAATTTAAATAGCACATCCAGGCTGTAACTTTTCTTAACATCCTCAACAAAAGAAGTAGGTAGAATGCAAGTTTCCACTGTGGAGCATGGCTCAGCTGAATAAATGAAAACAGTAAGGGATTTCAGGGTGGCGGGGAGGTGGGGGCATTCTTCCTGGATCTGGCACAGTGGCTTGGCCCTGTAATCCCAATGCTTTGCTTGAGGCCCAGAGTTCTAGACCAGCCTGGGCAAATGAGTGAGACTCCGGTCTCTACAAAAAAAAAAAAAATTTAAAATTAACGGGGCATGCTGGGACACACCTGTTGTCCTGGATGCTTGGGAAGCTGAGCCAGGAGGACCACTTGAGCCCAGAAGTTCAAGGTTATAGTCAACTATGATCCCCACTGCACTCCAGCATGGGCAACAGAGTGAAACCGCATCTCTTTTTTTTAAAAAAAACAAAAAACAAAAAACATTCTTCTTATAGGGCAGGCTTTGAGGATAAAATCTGGAGAGGACAGGGAAACAAGAAAGATATGAGAAATATTATTTATGTCTTTTTTTTTCTTCCAAATGAGACCTGGAGAAAATGGCTTAGTTAAGCCTCATTTCCTTATCTATAAAATAAGGTCACATAACCTAACAGACTGCTTATAGCAAGATTAACAGAAACATCACTTTAAATGGCTGTAAACTACATATTCACAGGAACAAAGAATGAGGTATGTAGATGTTAACAAACTATGAGAATATTAAAACTAGCAACTGGGACAGCATGGAACTAGGCACTGTCCTAAACGTAACCCACATGTGAATGTTTTATTTAAAGCAAGAAAGTTTCTGGCTCTACAGAAGAGGCACAGGCAATTTTGGTGCTACCCCTGCCTAAAGGGGCAGGATAAGTTATGGTCCACTAGCAGAGAGCACTTGGTTTTGAAACCACTAATCTTCAGTGTTCATGAAGGACTAGAGTTGGCAAGGGAGGCTGACAAGCGGCATGTCTGATGACAACTGAGGGCCACTCGAGGAGTCCACAGAGGCGAGGCTGCTGTCCATAACATATACTATTAGTCTTTTGGAACTGTTGATCTGACACCCTGACAGTAAAAATAGGAATTCATTTCTCCCTTTGTGGCAGAGCACACAGGCACTTGGGAAATGTACTGGAATTATTGACACTGTCTCTGTATCATCTCTTCCCTCTTCCCAAAGCTTTGGATTTGAAGCTTCTTTGCAATATAAAGATTGGATGTTGCTATAAATATAATGGATGATCTGACTGTAATTATTCCTAAAACATGCTTAAAAGAGACTATATAAATTAGCAAGATGTTTGAAGTGTAATGTGTAACTTGTATCTTGAAGCATAAAAAGACGAGCATGACAAATATTCAGTAATGCCTTACGTATAAATAAAAATTGTTTAGATTGTTAAATTTTAATGTGCCTTTGAGTATTGCCAACTAGGAATGCCACAGTAAGATAACTGGCAAGAATATCAGGATACCATACTCAATGTTCCCCAAACTGAGTTACAAGAAACAAGTTAATAATGAGATTCCTTAGAGAAAGGAGAAGCCCACTCTTGTAACCCCTCCTCCTGGCTATTCACAATGCATACTCATGTAGTAAAAGCTCCATAAAGTCTTAAAGAAACCTCTTTAACTTTGTGTAAGTCAGCATTTCCCAAAATTTTTTGACCACAGAACTCTTTTTTTCCCCACAAGGAAACTCCAGTGACATCACATTCTGTACAACATGTTTTGGGCAGTGCTACTGTAATATATCTCTTATCTCAGCAAACATGTCTGCATATCTGGGCTACATCTATGCAAGAGTCTGCTGGTTGGAAAAATACATCGTATTCACAATCAACTATACTGGCAAGGTACTCAACGGTATGAGGTGAAATCGTTGTATCTGTGACAATTTCTAACCATGTATACCAAAAATGGGTAAGTAAAATTAAGTATTCGGTTATGATCCTAGGTGGGTGTTTTCGCTTCTAAAGCTTAATTAAGAGAAGTAAGAAACCAGGAGATGGAGGTCCTAATCACCTTCTATCACCAATTAGTCTGTATGTGTCTTGGGGAAGTCCTGGCATTTGTTTCTTCATATATAACTTGAAGAGGACTTGACTAATAATCTGATCTAAAATGATGCAGAGGAAAGTGGGGCCAGAATTTCTTTATGATGGAGTTTCGCTCTTATCACCCAGGCTGGAGTGCAATGGTGCAATCTTGGCTCACTGCAACCTCCGCCTGCTGGGTTCAAGCACTTCTCCTGCCTCAGCCTCCTGAGTAGCTGGGATTACAGGTGCCTGCAACCATGCCCAACTAATTTTTTGTATTTTTAATAGAGACGGGATTTCACCATGTTGGTCAGGCTGGTCTTGAACTCCTGACCTCAGGTGATCCTCCCGCCTCGGCCTCCCAAAGTGCTGGGATTACAGGTATGAGCCATAGCACCCAGCTATTGGAGCCAGATTTTCTAGCAATAAAACTTGAAATGTGGTCAGCCAAGTGCAGTGCCTCACGCCTGTAATCCCAGCACTTTGGGAAGCTGATGCGAGCGGATCACTTGAGGTCAGGAGTTCAAGAGCAGCCTGGCCAACATGGCAAAACTCCGTCTCTACCAAAAACACAAAAAGTGGCTGGGCATGGTGGCCCACACCTGTAATTTCAGCTTTTCAGGAGGCTGAGGCAGGAGAATCACTTGAATCTGGCAGGTGGAGGTTGCAGTGAGCCAAGATCACACCACTGCATTCCAGCCTGGGTTACAGAGGAAGACTCCTTCCCCCGCCAGACACACAAAAAAACTTGAAATGTGGCTTTGGATGTTGTATCATTTGCCCCGTTTCAGCCTAGCCCCCTAAAACAAAACAAAACATTCAAGGATGAGGAAGATACCACTCCCTGTTTCAGGATAAAGAATAATTTACAGACTAATACACACGAGAAGACAATATATGTGGAATAAAAATTTGCGGGCTTAGGCCAGGCATGGTGACGCAAGCCTGTAATCCTAGCACTTTAAGAGGCTGAGATGGACAGATCACCTAAGGTCAGGAGTTCAAGACCTGACTGGCCAACATGGCAAAACCCCATCTCTACTAAAAATACAAAACTTAGTCAGGACTGAGGAAGGGTGCCTGTAATCCCAGCTACTCGGGAGGCTGAGGCAAGACAATCGCTTGAACCCGGGAGGCGGGGGTTGCAGTGAGCTGAGATTGTGCCACTACACTCCAGCCTGGGTGACAGAACGAGACTGTCTCAAAAAAAAAAAAAAAATTGCAGGCTTCAAAGCAGAAAAGGAGGAAGAAATAAATGAAACATCATGAAAAGTCACAAAGACCTGGGAAAGGGTCATGTGATAATGCCTTTTAAAAAATGTTTAAGTACAAACTGACTAGATAAAACTCCTTCAGTGTACTAATTTTGGTACACTAGAGGGTACACTGGTTCTTTCAGATTTTTAATATGCCCACTTAAAACACAACAGTAGCAATTTATTTAATGGTAATCTTTAAATGTGAAAAAATGAATGCCTTTTCAAATGGGCCTGTCACCCTAGGGAAACGGTTTACTCCTCTGATAAAACAGAATGAAATCCATGTCCCAGCAACTAAGGTACAATCACAAGTAAAATCACATTAGAATTAACTACCATAAGGGCAATTTTTAACATTAATAAACCTCTTAGAATACAAATCTTACCTGTACAGGATTTCAGCTATAAGATGACAACACACACACACACACACACAGAGAGAGAGAAAAAAACCATTTGAAATAATGTTATTAGGGTGGATACACTCAAAATGCATGACTTCACAAAAACAAACACCACTCACACTAAAGGCCAAACCACCCTGAAAACCAAACAATTTTCCACAAAACAAATGTTTTTTACCAAATAGGAAAAACAGTAGTTAGAAGTCCTATTCAAGTATGATTGAAAATAGCAATGGGGTATTTCTAAAGCACACATAGGGGGTATCTAGAACAATTATAAGAATTTACAGCCAACATTAAAAAATGCCTAGGAAGCTTTAAACAGAAAAAATGCTTTCAGCTAAATCATCAAACAACACAGTGGTTTGTAGGTTTCTTCATTAAGAAACCTTTGCTCAGTGGAATGCAAGCAGCTTAGTCATGACTAGTACTCAATAATTAAATGTTCATAAAGACTGAAATCTCCTGATTGCAATGCATTTAACTCCACTTTGCATTATTATATAAAGCATATGTGTATGCAACATGTTAATACATTTCT